CGGCGCCGGCGTAGGGGAGCGTGATTGCTATCTTTCCGCCCTCGCTGGAGAGCGCGGCGAGGCAGGCGGTTGTCGTGGGCGGCTGGGAGATGGCGTCGAACGCTAGGGAGAGGGAGGCCGTGGACTGGATGCTGTCGACGATCTGATCACATTGCTCGCTCGTCAGCGCACAAGCGGGGGTAGGGGGGCAAAACACGCACAGCTGGGTCGTGATAGTCCAGGACGACGTCCGCGCCGAGCGTCTGGACGTACGCGAAGTTCGCCGGGCTCGCCGTGGCGACGACGTGGAACCCGGCCGCTTTCGCGAGCTGCACTGCGGCCGCGCCGACGCTTGAGCTCGCGCCCCAGACGAGGATCCACTCGTCCGCGCCTACGTCGGGGGCGAGCGTGCCCGCCTCGTCGAGGGGCACGGGCACGCCCAGCAGGAGGTGCAGGCCGATCGCCGCGGTGTAGAAGGCGAGGGGGAGCGTCGCCGCGCTGTCGTAGGAGAGCGAGGCGGGGAGGTGGATTGCGGCCGCCGCGCGCGCCAGGCAGTACTGCTGGTACGCACCGTACTGGGACGCTTGGCCCAGCGGCGTGTACGCGGCGATGCGGTCGCCCGGGGCGAAGCTGGACACGCCCGGGCCGAGGGAGACGACGGACCCGGCGCAGTCGACACCTACGATGATGGGGAAGGAGGGGACGATGTAGCCTACTGCTGCCTGGGGGGAGAGTCAGCCGGACAGGGGACAGGGGACAGAGCGGGTGGGGGGCGGGGAAGAGGGGAAGAGGAAGAGACGAGCGCACCTGCATAGTGTCGACGGGGTTCTGCCCCGCCGCCTCGACCTTTACGAGCAGCTCGCCCTCGCCCGGGACGGGGAGGTCGACGGGGCGGGCGGGGGCGAGCGGGGACGCGCCCTTTCCAGGGACGACGATGGCGAGGTTGAGGTTGGTGGACATGGTCGGTTGTTTGGTTGGTTGTTTGGTTGGTTGGTTGGTTGTTTGGTTGTTTGGTTGTTTGGTTGTTTGGTTGTTTGGTTGTTTGGTTGTTTGGTTGTTTGGTTGTTTGGTTGGTCGGTTGGTAGAGGGAGGAAGGGCGAGGGAGATTGGACTGGATTGGGATGGGATGGGAGATCGGTAGGCATTCCCGCCCTCTCCCAGCCTCTTATACCCTCCCTCCCCCTCCCCCTCCCCGTCCACAGTGCACAGGCGACCTACCATGGCCGGAGTACGATCGCGGCCCCCCCGCGCTCCCGGGCAGCCCCGGGCAGCTTCACGCTTAACGCCGAGCAGGCGCAGGCCCGCCCATTAATATTGTTCAGACAGGATTGAGAAAGAATAGACATCGTGATCCTACATGGGCCACAGGGCTGGAGCGGGAGGCGTGGACGGTCGGGCGTAAGTGGGCCAGGGTGCCGGGCTGGCACGGGCGGCACTGCTGACGTTAGTGAGCGGAGGGAGGACCCGCGGTGGGCGGTGGGCGGTGGCCTCCAGCACCTCGACCGCCCTCCAACAACCGCACCGGCACCATGCCCGCCCTGCGCTACCTCACCGCCGCCCTCGCCCAGGCCATCGACGCCCGCCTCATGGCCCCCACAGACGGCGCATTCTCCCTCGACCAGCTCATGGAGCTCGCAGGGCTCGCCGTCGCCCAGGCCCTCGCCGCCGACTACACCCTCCCGAAGTACACCAGGGTCCTGGTCTGCTGCGGGCCGGGGAACCAGGGCGGCGACGGGCTGGTCGCCGCCCGCCATTTGGGTGAGTACGCTCGGCGGGGGGCCGGGGTTGGTGGGGAGAGTGTGCACTGCGGAGCTGACGGGCGAGTCGACAGCCCACTTCGGCTACGAGCCCACGCTGTACATGCCCAAGCCGGGGAACAAGGACATCTACAAAGTGCGCCCCCTCCCCTCCCCTCCCCTCCCCTCCCCTCCGCGGTCCCCCCCGGCAGCTCTAACCCCCCTCCAGCGCCTCGAGAAACAATGCGTGAACCTGTCCATCCCGCGGCTCACCACGCTCGAAGAGCTGCGCCACACCCTCTCCGCCCAGGCCCAGGACGTGATCCTCGACGCGCTCTTCGGCTTCTCCTTCCTGGGCCCCGTCCGCGCGCCCTTCTCCGCCGTCCTCCCCCTCCTGCGCGACAGCCGCCTGCCAATGCTCAGCGTGGACATCCCCAGCGGGTGGCATGTCGAGGACGGCCCGGTCAGGCTCCAGAGCGACGAGGGGGAGGACTTGGGGCCTGCGTTGGACCCGGAGGTGCTCGTCAGCCTCACGGCGCCCAAGCTCGGTGTGAAGGGCTACAAGGGCAGGCACTGGCTCGGCGGGAGGTTCGTGCCGCCGTACGTCCCCTTTCCCTGTCTCTCACTTGCTGGCAAGGGGCGAGGCTGATCGACGCATTCTGTGTGACTTGACTTGTTCGGCACGCAGGACGATGGCCCGAGAGTGGGAGCTCAACTTACCCGAGTACCCCGGGGGGCAGCAGATCGTCGAGCTGCCCCGGCAGGGGGCGCTGTGAGCTCCGCTCCAGACCCTCCGCCGCGCCAGGCGACGGGAGGACCGGGCTAGGCAGCGCTCAACGCTTGTCGTTGGGCCACTGGGAGTCGACGCGGGTCGGGAAGAGCCATGTATCATGCGTGCGGCAAGGAGGTGGATGGGGGGCTGTATCTCTACATCGTACCACTAACCAAGGAAGTAAGCAACGCAACGCAACGCAACGCAACGCAACGCAAAGCGAAGCAGGCAGCGACTGCGCCCCCGAGCACGCGCAAGCCGAGCCTGCGACTGATGACTCGTGCGGCTCCGATCCCGGGCCAGCGCTGATAAGCTGCACAATCCCTGCTGCATTGCTGCCATGTCCCGGCTCGCAGCTTCGCACTTTGCATTACTGCGGCAGCCAGGCAGACAGCGCCCCGAGCCTCATCGCTGCCCGATACTATGCGGTGCGGGAATCGTGTCGGTGTCCAGCGAGACGCTACTGTACTGGGAAGCAACGGTGCCAGCTGAACAGAACAGAGGTGTCCAAGTGCCGTCCCTCAGCACCTGGTGTGCCTCGTGACTAGACCATAATAACTGTTCATTGTCAGTTGGTTGGTTACCGAACTCGTATCAATTCCACCGCCCGCCCGTCAATCCCGGCGCAGCCCGCCGGAGTCGCCGGAGTCGCCGGAGCCGAGTGCGGCACTGCGCGGGTGCGGGGGGCGGTGTCGTCACTCGGGGGGCGACGTCAGTCGTCGGGCTGCACAGGAGCCTCAGCCGCTCACTCCCTCCGCCCTCCGCCCTCCGCCTGCGCAGTGCATATAGCTGACGGGTCGCATACATCGAGCGCTTCATCAGTGACCACTTGTACGCTACCCAACTCCCACCACACACGCCTGCTACTATCGAGCGATACTGTAATCCCCGACCCGACCCCTATCGCCCATCCCATCCCATCCCATCCCACCACCACCACCGACCGGCCATGTCCTTCCTCAACAAGTTCAAGGCGGCCGCCACCAAGGCCGGGAGCCAGGCGGGCACCTTCATCAGCGAGACGACCGCGCGCGGGCTGCAGGAGGGCCAGGGCTTCGCCCAGAGCTTCTCCCTCCCCGGCGAGGCCGAGAAGGCGGCAAAGATCCTCGCCAGCTTCCTTGGTGCGTTCCTCTCCTCCCATCCCTCCCTCCCTGCCGTCGGGGAGGGTTACGTTGCCCGGACGCAGGAATACTGACACACGCGTGCAGCAGGCCCCGACCAGGCCGACTCGGCGCTCAACGTGATCCCACACGCGGTGCTCGCGCGCGCGCGCGGCCTCGCCATCTTCCAGGTGATCAAAGCCGGTTTCGTCTTCTCCGGCAAGATGGGCTCGGGCATCGTGATCGCGCGGCTGCCTGACGGCTCCTGGTCCGCGCCCTCGACGATCGCGACGGCGGGCGTGGGCTGGGGCGCGCAGATCGGTGCGGACATCACGGACTTTGTGATTGTGCTCAACTCGGACGACGCCGTGCGCGCGTTCTCCATGGGCGGCAACGTCACCATCGGGGGCAACATCTCCGCCACGGCCGGCCCCATCGGCACGGGCGGCGCGCTGCAGAGCGCGCTGGCGCACCCGGCGCCCATGTTCAGCTACAGCAAGAGCAAGGGCCTCTTCGCCGGCATCTCCCTGGAGGGGACCGTCCTCGTGGAGCGCAAGGACGCGAACAAGGCGTTCTACGGGTCGCCCGTGCCTGCGCGCGAAATCCTCAGCGGAAAGGTGCCCCCGCCCGAGATTGCGAGCAGGCTGTACGAGATCATCGAGGCTGCCGAGGGGCTCGGCGAGGAGCCCGTCCCTGGGGAGGCCGTGGAGGGCGAGGCCGTGTTTGATGCTGCGGAGCACTAGAGGAGAGCATAGACGGCGTGGGAGGAGGTGCCCAGAGGTGCGCAGCGGCGGTGTACTTGTGACTGCTTTCTTTCCTTCTCAGACTCGCTTTTCATGAAATCATCCTCAACCCTTTACGAAGAAATGACTCTGCCCTTCCACGCTGTGCGCGTTGCCCGCTGGGCCTTCTGACTATGATCTCCCAGGGGGATGAATGTAGTGCCGTTCCACTGCTCCTTGCCAAATGACGATGCCTTTCCCGGCTAACGCTGTGCCAGCGCTGCGCGTCGTTCGGAGCCACGTCCTGCGTGCGGCACGCAAGTCGTTTGTTTTCATGCCGAGCGCGCATCTCCACCCTCATCCATATCGAAGAGTGCAAACCCGGTATGATCAACAGACACACTACACTCCATGAACCCCCACTCAGCAGCACCGCTCTGTAAGGGTAGGCAGGCGTGCTGAGTGCGCGCTGTGCGCTGGATAAGGAAGTCTCATGCCGTGGTCGGCGTTCATGGTGTGGCGCGTCATTCCAGGAAGGCTGGAGGGCGGGGACGGAGGCAGGCTGATCAGGGATCTCCCGGATGTGGTCTTGCCAAAACGAATCGTACATTGTAAGGATGTGAAGGTGTAGTATATTTGGCTGCCCACCAATGCAGGGTATATTTGTAAAGGGCGAACCTACTTCGTGTTTGCCGACTTGGCGCAGTTGGGAGCGCGGTAGACTGAAGCACTTGCTGAGTTCTAATGGTCACCTGTTCAATCCAGGTAGTTGGCAACAAGGACCTTGATACTTTTCCTTTTTCCCATTCTCAACACCCAATTGCGCTGTTCTACCGCACACCAGCTGCCCGCGTGCCCCACATATCCGGGAATGGGTGACGCAAGCCCCTGCATATAAGGCAAACGAGGGTTGGAACATTCCACGGCTGCTGCCAACTCTGGGCGGCCCCGCAGGCTCAGCCTCAGGCCCTCGCCCGCCTCCCAAATACAGGTCGGTGGAGGCACCTCCCTCCCGCCGCGTCGGCTCCCCGCCTCCCTCCTGGTGCAGACGGGCGATGGCCCGCAGATGCCGGCGATCGCCTGCGCCGATGGTTGCGCGGGGTGACGCGGCCTCTCTGCTGTACTGTATCCCGCTGTGCAGGCCGCGGCGGGCTATATACAGTACAGTACGACTCGATGGCTTGCGCGGATCTGGATCTTGCACTGCGATGCGTCGCGATCTGATCGTCTGCGTCGCCGCACGCCGGAGAGCGTGTTCTGTGCGCCGTGCGCCGTGCACGGACGGACGACCGAGATCGACGGGACATTACACCATGTACAGCCAAGGCTCGGATATCTCGAGCACGGCACGGACCAGCCTGTTCTCAGCGTCCTGCGGCCGATCCCGTCATGATGCATGACCCCCATATGAACGCGGGCGGACACAGCATGCAATAATCTGCGGTCCGCACCAATGTTCTAGCACTGGCAACTCATGACACTGCACCGTCTGAACGGCGGAGAACACACCGGCGACCGCTCGGCCCGTGCCGTCTCCGAGGACCTCGCGTCCGGCAACCCGGCCGAGGCGCACGTCCCTCTTCGGGCACTCTGAATGCGCGCGAAGAACTTCATATGGCGCTGCTGCACCAAGAACACAGCACATCCGATCCATGGATCCATTGGTTCGCACGCGCACGGAATCTGGCCAGCTGACAGCGGAAGCCGGTCAATCGGCCGCTTGAGCAGCAATTTCCTCAGTATGGGACAGGAAGGAGGGAGCAGGCCACCGCTCATCACCGGCCTGCTTAAGCGGAGGAAGAAGCAGGGCGGACTGATACTAAGATGCAGACGCACGGCGGCACGAGGTCGAGCTACAGTATGTAGACCCACACCCACACCCACGTGGTCCAATACTGAGCACGGCGAACAGAACAGAACAGAGGCGGAGGACGGATCACGGAAAGGAGGATGAGCACGGGACGCGCTGATGCCCGCCGTGCGCACGGTGCACGGTTGGCTGGAGATCCGCGAGAATTTGGCCAGGCACCGCAGTGGTATTATAATAGTACGGTTATGGCACTGCGGTGCCCTCACTGATCGAGCACCGAGGTGCATCGGGCAACGAGCTGCCCAGGGTGGATCCGTCCACCGACGCGCAGAAGCCTGAAGCCTGAAGGCGCCAAGGACGGGACGGTGCGCTCTCGGGCGGGGGGGGGGCCTGGTTGCTGGTTGCTTTGCGGTGGGGGACGAGAAGGGGCAAGAGCAGCGGCGGCGGAGGGGGGGGGGGGGGGGGGGGGGGGGGGGGGGGGGGGGGGTGGACCCGGCGGTCACGCGAGCACAGGAGCGGATCATGCGACCTTTGCTGGGGGGGACATTGACCGCCTAACCGCCTAACCGCCTAACCGCCCGCCGCAGCGGCGTGTGCGGCGTGCGTGCTGGGCGTGCGTTGGGGCGGCTGGGCGGCTGGGGGGGAAGCCGGGCGGGCAGGGCAGAATTTGCGCACTCGCTACCGTGGGCAGGAAGTGCACGGTCTAATTTGGTGGGCCCTTGTCCGCGTCCCGCGATCTGGGGTCCTACTCCTATCTCTCCTTATGATGCCCGGACTTTCCCAATTTTGATTTCGAGCTCGATTTCAAAAACCTCCCGAGCAATCCCGCAGCGCGTTATCAGCAGCGAGGAACGCCACTCCACCCTCCCTCACCTGCTGGTCGTCTCGAACCGTATACCGTCTGCCCGCTAGCGCACAAACATGCACTCTCGTCCCACCGGCGCTTCCCTCCCTACCTCTCACCAGCTTCATCATGACCCGGACATCCTGCGCTCATGGTTGCATCCCACAGCTGCCGATTACACAGCGGTTCAGCGTGCGTCGCCTTCCCCTCCACAATCACACTCTCTCATCTTTCTCCAGCGGTGCACTTGCTGTCCGAAATTGTACGGCCTGCAACCCGAGTAACCACTCGCACACCTCCGGTCAAGTCAACGTCCCGCTTGTTGGATGAAGTTGCCTCACTTCCCTCTGTCGTGGCCCATCACCAGCCTCGTAAGGCAATGTCGCACTTTCCTGCATTATGTATCTTACTATGCTGAGCAGACCATGAGACATCTCGTTGCTCGCCACCAGCATCCATTTCTACCTACCCTGCCTTGTCACCTCGCCAACAACCTCTGGACGCCTGCAAGTCTTTGTCATGTTCATGCGGCTTCCGAGAGGCACTCTTCAGTGTCCTTCGTGATACGCTGATCCGTGTCTTTCCAGCTCGACACGGTAAGCAATAACCTTTCATGTGGTATGGCATTGTTGCTCATGGCACATTATCAGGCAATGTTCAAAGGCAGACCGTTCCATCGGTGCAAGATTATGCTGCTCCAGAAAGCGTCAACCTACTTCTCCACTTACTCGATATCGCGCAGGACGGTTCTCGCCCCTTCATCGAGTCCCTTCTTCAGCAGCTACTCCATAAACATCCCGCCTCGCTCGCCACTAATGATGTTGTGGCATCCGTTCACCATGAAACCGCGAGAAACGCTCTCCTCCAAGAAAAGTCTGTGCCTCATATCTGTCTACCTCGTTCTGGTTCTGAGTCCTCCCGATTGCCTCATCCATCGGCGGTCGGGCCGTCTTCTCCCCGCTCACCTGGATCGTCTCGGGCGAATCGACAGTCACATAGTGATATGTCAGGTTCCGACAACCTCTTCGGCAACAATACCCCGACCCGACCCTCGACACCGGAGACCCTTCAAACCTCTCATCCTCCCGTTTCCCCTCGGCGTTTCCACCACCAAGCCTCGGCCAACCTCCCCTTCCACCACCGTACCTCTAGTTGTTCACCTCAGGAGCCAACTCTGTCTTCGTCAACCCCGAAGCAGGAGCCATCTCTTAACACGCAGCCGCCTCTGTCGACCTCCGCGCAAGTCCCAACACGCCACCCGATTAGTCCCCCCGTCGACGCGTCTGTTCACCGCCATCACTCTTTTCCCGCAGAGGTCCAGTTCACGCCCGCCTCGCAGTTTGATACAGATCCACGGTATGGGGAAAACTTCGCAACAGTCAATGGTCGATCAGTAGTGATATGGGGTACCGGGACATATCCCGCAGAACTCGCAAGTCAATACCTCGCAGACCCTACGGCACCTGGCAGAGCCGACTGGCCAATCCGGCCGACAAAATATATCAACAGGGACACACACTCATCTCTGTTACGAATAGACTTGAAGCGATGGATGGGTACGTGCATCCTCTGTACGTCTCGCCTATTCGGCTGACTAATGCGTTCTTGTAGCCAACTCCCCTCTTGGGGGCGTAGTCTTGTGGCGTCATCTGCCCTCTGCACTACGCCAGCAGCGCTGTATGATCGTTGGTTATCACAAGATTCTGCCACTACCTGGCATCTCTGTGCACCCATACCATTTTCAAAGTGTTCAGATATGGGTGTTGATGCTTCGCATCTGGGAAGGGCGCATTCGAATCGTTAGGTTGACCAATGGTAAGTTCCGCGTAGCTTCCTTCATCAAGCCATGTTCTTCAATATCGTTTCTCTACAGACCAAATCGCAGAGCCGGATCCCCCTATTCTTTGTTATGAAGATGGAGGGCCACTCTTGTGCCTCTCGCATTTTGCTCAGTTGCTTTCGGACTGCAACTTGCAATCCGATGTTCATATTGCCCCGTGGGACCCCAGGCGCCCTCTCCCGACCCTCGATCAGGCCTGTCAAACTCTGATCGGGAAGAGGAAGAGGAAGGCAGCGGCAGCAAGTGGCCCGTCTACATATTGTGATTCCCATGATTCGAGGTCTCAACGCAGGCGATTACTTCGACCCGATCCCTCTACCGACAAAAACCAGAGGCCATCGTTCGATGACCAAAAATTCGAACAGCACCATGACGATACCCAGCGGCCCTCGCCCGCATCTATCACCGCAAGTCTGCGTAACCCTTCTGTCTCGCACCATTTCTACCAGAATCGCGCTGATCTCCTCCATACCGAATCCCTGCCGGGAGAGATTCGTACCCGCTCCCATCGCCTGTGGCACGAACGTTCCAGCCGATTCTCTCCTCAACGTCACAACGCTTTTCGCCTCTCCCGTGAATTGGATCAGACCGATGTTGGGTTTGCGTACGACTTTGAGAAGGAGTATCACCACTACTATCGGGAACATTGTCAGAAATCGCGGCCCCCTTTGGCGCGAGAACGTCAGGACTTCGTCAAGTGGATTCACCTCGCTGCCTCCGACACTCCCCCTCACCCATTGTGTTGTTCAAACACGACCCTGGGAGTGGCATTTGCAGCGTACCGTGCAACACAAGAAGGGCGGTCGCACCTCGACAACGGTGTTACTCTGTCCGCGAGTTAAGTAACTGCCCACGTTTCCTTGCTTTATACTGTTCTACCTTTTTGTATTGGTGCAGTCTATTCGTTGTTCTTCTATTACATTGCGTTACACATGTACTGTACATCTTCTTTTTACATGAGATCGGATTGGCACAGTATGGGAGGGGGGAAATACTGCTCTGCTGAGACGGAGACGGGAAGAGCGCTGTGACATCACGCGACACGAATTTCCAGGAATATTCCAGTAGTAAGGAAAGGGGCGCGCGACCTGAGGCGCCGCCTATAGCTCGGAGCAGCGGCAAGTTTTACTCAGTCTAGTTACACTATTTTCTCCCATCGCCCACCACTCGACATGGGACAACTCGCGGAGATTACCGAGCTTATGGAGGTGATCTTCAGCTACTTGCCGCACAAGCCTCGAGTGCACCTTATGAACCTGTCTCGTGCCAACAAACAGTTCC